GTGGAAGAGGTTAACCACATTGAGACAGTACAGTTCTAGAGGTCTTCTTGTCAGGCTCCCTGATTTGCCTTCTGGGATCTCAATCAGGCAGTCATGTGTCAGCATAATTGATAATTCCCCTCAAAATCAGGACATTAGCCCAATTGGCAACCAAGCTTTAGTCCAGGTGTATGACATGTAAAGACCCAGCCTGCGAATCTCTAACACTTACCATGTTGTTCAACCCCAGGGTAGACTGAACACCCTCAGATTCCATCTCCCTGGGTCCTTCTGCTCCCCTGGCTGGCAGCACAGCGCGGGGCTACAGCTTCTCCAATCCGCTCACAATTTGTCCTTCCAGCCCCCACTGCCGCGCCCCCCTCCTGTGGCGTCATGGTGACGGGAGCGTTCCTGAGTGAGTGCACCAGGTCAGACGGGCTTTTTCAAACCCTCCACTGCTACCGAATGGTGGATGACGAGCTTCTATGTCCACTCCACGTTCCATTGGTTCAGTCAAAACTGGCAAAAAAAAAGACATGACTGTCGAAGCCAAATAACAACTGTTTTTTTAATTCTCAAGAGTTTAAAATCAGTCGGTGACTGTAGCTCTTATTTTAGTTTGCACAAATATTAGGTTTGGTTTTTTAACAAGAAACAATTGGCACCGTCAAAGCACAGACGGATATTCAGGTGTTAAAATGGTAAATCGTTTTTGAAATGTTGTATTTTTTATGTGGAAAGAAAAATAACTGTACTTTTTAAAAGACACTACAGTTTTGGGAAATAGTAGCTTGACTTCACAGCAGCAGTTCTGGAGGTGTTCTTGTCCTATTATTTCAAACTCCTAGCAGGTCCATTTAGAATTTTTTGCACTAATTGGGTGAGGTGTTTTGCAGAAGATAAAAAAAGTAATTTCCTTTAAACACTTCCTGTAGGTAAATTTAATAATAAAAGTATTTTTTCTGGTGTTACATATGCAAAGGGATATACACTGATAGGTTAAGTTAATAACAGCGGATGCATAAAAACATGCTGTTGCACAACTTTTAATGAATACCTTCTGCGAAATTAATTACTTTTTAAATTACAGCATTTGTCACATATTAAAAATAATATCCAGGATTTACATTTGGTACAATGATAATCATAGTCATATCTTTTGGTGTCTTGTACCAGAACCTATGTTTACTGATGAACATGTCCCCAAAAAACTTTAATAAGGCGAAAGAGACAAGACGCGTCCTTCTGTAGGAAGTCCCAGGAGTGTCATCTGACCCTTCCCGATTGATCCCCAGGATCCGCTCTAGATCTGTTCTGACAACTGGTCAAAGACAACCTCTGTAGGAGGATCCCTTCCATCTTGAATGCCTTGATTTTCCTTACTTCGTCACCGTGTCTAAAAATTCACCTCCATACGAAGCAACACAAGCATTTCCAGCATCTTGCTCGGTGGCACGACATTAAGTCTGCACGAGCCAGAATCTGGTTGGATATCTGCCTTGCGCCTTCACAGTAATTCAGGCTTGCCCAGAAGCTTGCACATTCCTTGTGTGTAGACTGAGCTCACAGTCTGCTTGCACTGCCAAGTGTCACTAACATGTTCCTTTGTCTTCTGTTATATACAGGATATGTTCAAGTATAAGAGTCTGAGAAGAGTCTGAACTACAAGTGTACATAATTAAAGACCGAAAAAGAAAAAGACAACTGAATAATTAGATTGTTCATAAACATTGATTTAGTCATTGAAAATGCGTGAATAACAAACAGCATTTTCTTTTGCAGTTCTTTTTGTGGAAACATTTGCATGCGGCTGATGCATTCTGTATATACACTTGTATTTACGCCGTATATACGCTTAGATGTACTGTATATAGTGTATACTAGGAATAGTGTGTTGGGTCTCTGCAGTTCCCAAGAACATATTCTACAAAGTTCTGAACTGTCTGAAGCCACGTTTCTCCTTATCCTTCTTGCAACATTGCCTACAGGTGATGGGGTGCTGGTATCTGGAATTGAACTGCATGCTTCTCCAGCTTTCTATAGGACCAAGCTCTGGGGATTGTTGTGGCCGGAGACCATGACGAAATCTGTCTCGTGCTCCTCACATTCACCACCTATTACCCGCAACTGAGACTCTCACTCGCTGTACAAACTGAACTTGCCATTACTACCGTAGACATTACAATTCATGATTCTAGCAATTTGCTCTGCACTGTGTGTGTGTGTGTGTGTGTGTGTGTGTGTGTGTGTGTGTGTGTGTGTGTGTCCTGGGATGCACATAGATGCCATCCAGGGCATATCCTTCCTTAAACCTAATGTTTCCTGGGATAAGTATTGGGCCTAAGCAGAAAGAATGTGATGTGATATACTCTATATATATGCTCTGCAAGCAGAGATGTATACATACACAGGGTCATCCAAATGTAATGTGACACCAAAGTCAAAAGCTTTAATTTTGTTGTATGTAAACAAGCAATTTGTATTTGTGATGATAGGATTAGTATGAATGATAAATGTTTCATTTTGGGGTAATCTGATAATTGAATCATATTAAATGTCATGTCACGATCGTAAACCCCTCCTCTTAAGGATGCTCCAGCCCTTCCTCGTTTACCTAATCTCCTGCACCTGCCTCCTGTTCCAGTCTCCCTGTTAAAAGCCAGGCGCTCCCATTATTCCAGGCTCAGCTTTGGAAGATGGGCACCCAGAAGCCCGCCAACCAGCAAGTCCAGGAGTGGCTCAACGGCACAGGCTTCGCAACGGCGTCCTGACCGTCTGGGTCTGGGTCTGGGTCTGGGAGCGCCTGGCCCCCGATACCCTTTTTTATTCCCCTGACCCTTCGCCGGATCCCGCTCTGGCTTTCAACTCTGTCTAGTCTTTGTCAAGGATGGACCATCTAGATGGACTGTCTAGTCTTTGTCAAGGAAGGACCACCCGGCTCAGGACATTTGCCCCTACAAACAAATAAGTCCGAAGGGTGTTTCTTTACAAACACCCTTCGGACTTATTTGTCTTGGATCACGCTCCCCCCTCGAGCACTAGCCCACCTTGGACACGCCCCCCAGTTCTTCCAGCCCCGATCCTAGTCCTTTATTCCCTGTTTTTGTCTCACTCCCATCCGGATTTTGCCGTAAAAAGTAAAATTTAGTTCAAGAGTTACTTTTTGCTTGCAGATCCTTTTAAAGGTAATAGCTGCTTGAAGTCTAAAACCCACTGAGCCGCTTCCCTGTTTTGGGGTTGTTCTGAATTCTGTTGTTCCTTCAGCATGTAAAATTGCTGTTTCTTAGAATTTGCACTTACAAATCACATTTAATATTCAGGAGAAATGAGTACTGGTAGAGTTTAGAGTGAAAATCCAAGTTTAGACTTCATTGTTTCAACTGCCCCAACACTTTTGGAAACCAGCTCAGATTGGCTGGAATACTGTTGTTAATTTGATGTACAGCACAGAATAACATCATTAATCATAGTTTTTACACAGAACCAGAGGTCTCAGCAAATGTTCAACTAAAAATACATGTGAAGAAGGTTTATTGTATTGTTTATATGCTGCATTTTATATCCTGGGGGAAAATGCTGGAAATACAATAATGGTGTGAATTAAACATTTGCAATATTTATTATACAGGCTGAATGGCCTCTTGTTTGCAAATTTCCTTATGCATATATGTTTTGATTTAAGGAGGTATCTTAGCATGAAACAGTATGTCTGTGGGGCATGCAGTCTGTTACACTTGCAGCAGTAGTCTGGTAAAAGCTCATTAGAATCGTGTTGTCTGCCAGGACGATACTGATGAAGAATACAATTCCTCTTTGCTCTTACAGCCGTCTCTAGGTGGAGTAATGTATGTGGGTCAGCCTAGCCCCTTTGGGTCAGCCCTGCAGAGGTATTCCGCCAACCCAGTGTACAACATCCCACCACTCAGAGCAGCGCACAGCAGCCACAACAAAATCAGAGGACAGTGATAAGAGGCTGGACTACAAGATCCATCCAGAGAAGGAGAGAGAGGAGCTGCATCAACTGCATAGCTTAGTGTTTACAAGAGAACGTCTTGTTGAGGGTTGTTTTTAAGGAACTGGCATGTGAACTGATTTTGAGCACTTGGTCTTGAATAAGCTGACGTATGTTAGCATTCTTGCATGCTTATGTTAAACACTGCGATTGGAGTAATCACCCATGGAGGTAAGTCAGCTTTTACCATTGCTCCTTCCAGACCCAGATTAAGTGCCTCAAGTCTGGAGGGCTGAAAAATAAGTCTACCTATACTGAGATCACCACTGTCACCTTCCAGGTAAAATGCACTCAACGGACTGTTGACATTAATCGCTTAAAGAACAGAGCATCTGTAAATGGTTGTCAATTTTAGGAAATGGTTTTTGATCCCACGTGTTTTACATGGCAGAGGAAAATGGATGAAGTGCAAATTCACTGTAATGCCTGCGAGATATATCTGCTCTCTTTAAGAATGTAATCTTTCGCCTTCTGCAACAGATAACAGCTTGGCAACACTATGCTGGGTCAGAAGTGTCATTGCTCCCACTTTCTTTGTAAGTTTTCAGCAATATCCATACAGTGTAGTGAAAACCGTTTATTATCAATATATATATTATCAATATTAAAAATAAACAGAGTTTAACGACAGGAAATTGATTTCAGTTGTCAGATCAGGTATACGCATACCTTAGCTTTGTGCAACAACCTGAAACTTTCAGGTACCACAAATAATATTATTGTTGGGTCTGTATTTGACTGTTTTCTCTAATAGCCTTAATGTGTTTGTCACTGGCAGAATGTGTAAACAAAATTAACTGCATTGACTTCCTCAGTAATACACTTGAGCACATGTGCTTTCGGCTGTGTATACTTTTAGGATCTGTTGATGAGGCCAATTTGTTTTTTTTTTATATTTCTGTATTAGAAGTTCTTACCACAGTGCGTCAGTTTCTTTGGACCATTGTTATTCAATAAAATATGGCTGGCTAATCCCAAATGTAGAAGAACCTGTCCATCCATTCATCCACTCATCCATTCATCCATTATCAGAGAGCTGCCTATTCCTAGTAAGGGTTGGAGCAGCTTCTCTAGTCTATTCAACCTGCACATCCTAGAAACAAGACTGCACCCTGACAGGACCTGCCTGTCTGTCAAGGGCATGGGCATAGGTACAGGGAGATAGTCTTGAGAGTCCCAATACAATTACTTATGAGTCGCATACTGGTAAGGATTAGAAACACCTGCAAGTAATTGAGAAATCAGACAATTAATCTGTTTAACAGAGAGAACTCTGGGACCCTTCAAGAGCACATAGATTATAGTTCTCAATGACCTCTAATGAATTCTAAAAAATCACATGTTTGATCACAAATGAATTGTTCCATAACTTACAAATTAGTGACTTAGTGGTAACATACAGCAGAGGTTCTCAATGGTCCTTCTGGTTTTGATCCCATTCTGAGCTTAATTACCTAATTGAAGCCTAAATTGAATTTATGTTGCTAGACTGTGATAGCTTTTTCTCCTCAGATGTTTGGGATTTTACATTACTTCTGCAATGAATGTTTAAGTACTGATAGCTGTAAAACAGTTCATATTAATCATATTGTGTTCTATGGTGTAAATGAGAACTTAGGTGGAACAAACTCCAGCAACTGTGTGGTCCACTGGGAGCTGCTTTCCGACAACACCTACTGGATCTCAAGGAGCAGGGTTGGGCATCCACAATGTAGGGTCACTACTTCACAGACAGCATGACTTTGGAAAGTGGGAGGAGACTTGAGTACCCAGAGAAAGTCCATATTAAGACAGAGAGAACATGCAAACTCCACATAGTGGACTCCCCAGCCATGACTCAATAGCTGTGAGGCAGGAGGTTAAGCACACTGCAATCCTGGTAGAAACAAATCTTAGAAATTCAGTTTATTCCAAGTCACATTGTGCACAGAGCGGGGCAATATACCATCTTGGTCAAATAAATGTTTTCAGCAGACCCCACACGTAAGAATGCACGATTGCAGACAGACATAAAACATGGTACAGGAGACACCTTTGCAGACTTTCAGGTCTTGAATTCATAAGAAAAACATACAGAAACCATATTTCTTAATTTGTAACTGACTAAAACATTTTGTGACACTACACTGATGTGGTTTAGCAATTACTTTGAAAAATGATGAATACCCATGACATTAAACTGTTCATGTTAGTTAAACCATGGAAACTCTGTCCAGTTGTGCTACAACTGAAACTACAATTCATCTTCATTGTTACCTACAGGGGAATTTGCAAGAACAGGTTTACAGGTGCAGACTAATCTGTCCTTTCTGAAGCTGCATTATGGCTTTCTCTTCTGAAATGACTTTTTTCCCAATCATTATTTTTCTGCTACCGAATTTAAATTGCTAGCACCTGTTGGTGTTGTGAAGGGGTCATACTGTGGATTTGTAGTCAACTTTGCTATACAGGTTAAATCATGAAGTTCAAACGGTGAAAGAAGCTCTGCATTAATGCAGAATCAGACAGCAGGGTGGTGCAGGGATGAGTGTTGCTACCTAGCAGCTCTGGGATCCCTGGATTAATTCCTGGGGTGCTGTCTGTGTGCAGTTTGTATTTTTGCCCTGTGTTCACATGGGTTTCCTTCCACAGTCTCAAAACAGGGGCAGGTTAACTGGCTTCTGGGAAAACTGGCCCTGGGGAGAGACTGTGAGTGTGAGTGAGTGTGTGTGAAAGTGTGTGTGAGTGTGAGTATCTGTCAGTGTGTGTGAGTGTCTTTGAGTGTCAGTGTCTGTGAGTGTGAGTGTGTGTGAGTGAGTGTCTGTGTTTGTGTGAGTAAGTGTCTGTGAGTTTGAGTGTGTGTGAGTGACTGTGAGTGAGTGTGAATGTATGTGTAGATGATGTCTGCCCTGTAATGGAATGGCGTCCAGCCCAAGGTGTACCCTGATTTGCACCTGTAAATGTGCTGGGTTAGGCTTCAGCTTCCCTGCGACCCTGTACTGGAAAAAGCACTTAGAAAATGGATAGATGTACTGGTATTTGGCTTTAATTGTGTAAAGTGCCTTATTTGCCTAGGAAATAATAATGGTCAAAGTGGCACTTTTTCTTATGCTATCTGTCAGATTTAAAAACAAAATAGTTTTGAATTTTGTCATATAGAAATTTGACTTGAAACCCTTTTGCAATACTTATTTTTAAGTATGTTCATGTTTTTTGTGGTTTTAATCGCTTTAATTGCTTGAAAGTTTGTTAAATGATTAGTGATAATCCACAAATACTAAAAGGGAAAAGGAAAATGCTTTTAACAAGTCGGAATATCGTGATATATTGGTACCTGTAAATCAGGCCACAGCCATAGTAACTGAATTAGCCTGGTCTTTGGGTGAAAAAAGCAGATTTGCTTCCCTCAAGTGGTGATATGAAGCATAACAATCAATGGTTATTTAAAAAGTTTAAAAAGTTAAAAGAATAATTTAAACATCTTCTAAAATGCATTTAATTAACATACTGCATGACAAATTAAGGTTGGTCATCCAAAACAAAGTTGTGATCTGGCAAAAGTAGAGTACATTAATGAAACCTGATATATTTAGCAGGTAAAAATGAAACAAATTAGGTTGTTTGCATGCTGTTCTAGAAGAGTATTTGTCATTTGATGAAATGTCATGCCAAATGTTGAAAGCACAAGACTTTCTCTTAGCTACATGTTACACAACTCTTAAACATGTTGCTTTGCAATAAAACACAATAAAACAAATAATTTGTATTTTATTTCCTTATAGTTTTTAAACAACGCCCTTTGAAAGTATTGACACAGTGAAGACAAAACTGTGATTCTAATAATATTCACTTCTCATAAAAACACTTGATAAGTATTGATCCAAAGTATTTTGTTTATTAAAAAAATAATATAATCTATTATCAAAGTCAATTAAGCTCTACCCCATTTGAATCAAACATAGGTAACATTAGTTAAATATGTTTATTTTGTTAATAATAATTTCTTACACTTATATAGCGCTTTTCTGGACACTCCACTCAAAGCGCTTTACAGGTAATGGGGACTCCCCTCCACCACCACCAGTGTGCAGCCCCATCTGGATGATGCGACGGCAGCCATAGTCCGCCAGAACGCTCACCACACATCAGCTATCAGTGGGGAGGAGAGCAGAGTGATGAAGCCAGTTCAGAGATGGGGATTATTTGGGGGCCATGACTGATGATGATGATGACCAATAAGAAATGTGTCCAGGACACCAGGGTTAACACCCCTACTCTCTTCAAGAAATACCTTGGAATTTTAATGACCATAGAGAGTCAGGAACTTGGATTTACATCTTATCTGAAGGACAGTGACTTTTTACAATAAAGTGTCCTCATCACAATACAGGGCCATTAGGACCCACATAGACCCCAGGGTGAGCACCCCCTGCTGGCCCCACTAACATCTCTTCCAGCAGCAACCTTAGTTTTTCCCAGGAGGTCTCCATCCAAGTACTGACCAAGCTCACACCTGCTTAGCAGCAGTGGGCTATCAGTTATGGGTTGTAGGATGACATAGCTGTTGATTAGAACCTCGTTGAACCCCTTTAATTTGAAGGAGAAAAAAGTATTGGAACAACTGGCAGGCTGGTGTCTCTTGTTGGTCAGCTGTAAGCTGTTGGGCAATTAGGCTCATAACAGAACTGTGAACATCTTATTATACTACTGTATTTTGCTTGGCTGTCAATGTTTGGAATCAGCATTTTAAAGTCAATATTTGAAACAATAATGGGCACACCAAAATTCACAATGTACTGTAGAATCTACTGAAGAAACAGACCATGGGTTTAATTACCAATTAGCAAAGAAGAAGTCAGCCAAGACAAATATGTGCAATTTGTTAATGGAAAAATCATCAGAGCTCTCAAGAAAAACCCTTTAACAGCCTTTAGTGAAATTGCTGGCAGTCTGCAGAGTCCAGGGGAGAAGGTATCACAGTTACAGTTTGTAGGAAAGCAGAATTACAAAGCCTAAGCCACATGTAAATCACTCATCAGTATCAAGACCAAAAAAAGACAGATTATATTTTACTCAGAAGTAAAAAGATGAGGCATGAGTCTTGTAACAAAGTTGTGATGAACTTTTTAACATAATGATAGAAAGTTATAAAAAGTGGAAAAAAGTAACCGTAGATTCTCTGAAGATTATGGTGTCATCTGTGAAGCATGGTGGAGGTAGTGGGGATACCACCTGCAGAACTGGCTCACTCATTTTTTTGATTATGTACCTAATGACAGCAACAGAGCGAATTCTGAAGTTTACAGAAACATTTTGTCTGCTTAGGTAGAAGAAATGATTCCATACATATTGGGCAGCACTTCACGATGCAGAAAGACATCGAACCAGAACACAAGGCCAATACAACCTAAAAGTTTAGACCAATTATTGCCTCAAAGGAGCATTTTAATATCTCGGTACTAACTGCATGGTCACTTGAAATCACTGGGTTGAGCACAAAGTATGTTTCTGTTTTATTACGATCAAACACATTTATATTGTACTTATCATTCATATTAATCTCATTATCTCATACAAAAAATGCTTAAAATAATTTCTGGCATTGTTATTCCAGTAGGCCTGTAAGTACAATAAATGCTGTTTTCAACGTTGAAGCAGTATTCATTTATTTTAATGAACTGGGCTTCTCCTCTCATGCACCTAATTTCACTTCAAAGTGAAATGACTTAATATCACTTCAAATCATTGATAATAAGCAAAGGGAGTCAAGAATTCAAAACACCTCATTAAACATCTAGGTTTTTAAAGTTGTACGATGTTATATTGATATTGTACACAAGCTTTAAATGAATGAAAAGACATTTGGTTCTGAAACATCTTGTAGACAAATATAGACAGGCAATAGAAACAGAATATTAGGATATGTCATGAAAAACCTAGAAATGAAATCTGGTGATGTTATGTGACGTTTGTCCACTAGTAAATATTCTTTAAAACGTTGTCATAGAATTCTTAAACATGGTACAAAAAGATTTTGCTGCTCTGGAATTAGTCCATAACCCTTCCCGGGCTAAAATGAATGCCTTGCACTGATGGGCTGATGGGCTGAAGGAAAAAAGCCTTCAGATGAAGATAAGATCAATTTATTGGCCATATACAATTTCTTGCATTAGGAATTTGTCTTTTCACAAACCCCAACTTGCTCTCCATGAGACACACAGACAGGGAGAGAACCTCAGGGTCACACTGCAGGGTCAGCCATTTATATAGCACCACTGGAGCAGTTGGGGTAAAGGGCCTTGCTCAGGGGCCCAACAGAGTAGGATTCCTCTGCCAGCTACAAGATACGAACCAGCACCCATCCAGCCACAGGCACGGATCCTTAACCACAGAGCCACCACGCCACACTGCACCACAACCCCACCACCTTTAATATCTTGATGAGAGCAGACCTGGTCAAAATCCTTAATGGCACTGATAAAGTCAACTCAGGACTTCTTCACAAAACAGTGAAGAACAAACGAGTGGACATGTGAGAAAACTACATGGAAGTGCATCTAAAACTGAGAACAGGGGGGCTCTTTTTTACTCAGAAGCTGCTGTGCCCAGCCATGTTGTTGAAGCTGATACATTCTTTTTCAACAAAGAGCTCGAAGAGATCCTTAGATCAGTTAAGTAGCATCCAGGTGGGCTACATGGTCTGCATGGCTTCCAGTCGTTTACAACTTTTCTGATGTTCTTACCCTTTCTGGGATTTAAAATGTATTTATTATTATTTAAGTGTATTGTTGTTATTGAAACTTTGTGAACCACAACAACAGCAGCGGAAAGGTGTTTACAAAGCAATTCTAATGGCATTATTTGACCCCAAAAATGAAGCAAGTGCACAAATTAAAATTTGTAGGAAGAAGTGCATTTAGAGTTGAACATTTTCTCTTTATTGAATACTTTTTGAGGAACTTAGGATCACACAAAATGACCTGAACAGACTACACACTCACATTATTGAAAGTGACACTCTTTCACCCTGACACCTTGCAAGAATGGGTGAGTGTGGCTTATGTGTTTGAAGACGAGTGTAGATATTGCACACTCTGTACAATCCACATGTGGATACTGTGCTGTCAATCAATCAACATTTATGTATCAAATGCACAACAATAAAGTGTGCAGCAGTAGTTGCTGGCAATGAAATGTCTTTTCTGCACGCTCACTGGAGGGGAGGGGGTAAAAATCACAAAATTAACGTTATAAAATAAGGCTACATAATAATACATACTTGTGCAATAGAAATGGAATAAAATAAACTCAGACAGAGCTCAATATAAATAGAGCTGTGATGTGTCCAGGCTGTATGCAATACATTATGTCCAAGTAGTGCAGTGCAGTATGTTGAATGCAGGCTGACTTATGTATAGGAACCACGCCATATGCTTTCCAGCAGAATAAAGACACTGCAGATCAGCATTTTGATTCCAATATGAAGTGATGTGTTTTCTATTAAACGTATAGCATGGCTATGAAGGCATTTTGTCCCTTTGCGTGTTTCAGAAATGGAATTTGCACACTCCTTGAGGAAAAGCATGGGCAAGGGTGAATGTCATCCACTGGAAAGCAGCAAAAAAAAAGTCAAATAATTTTGCCACAAGGGGGGATAATTAGACAGTGCAGCTTAGCACATAACTGCATTCCAATGAAGAATAGAGATGAAAAGACAGAAACCAGACCATATCAGAAAGAGTGCCTGTGAGCTCAGTGGACTTATCTCTTGCAGAGGTAGGAACTGAATAGCACCCCGCAAGTTCCAAGACTTAAAGTTACTCCACAATCACTAATCTGCGATGTTGAGAGCCCAGATAGAAAATGTAAAGGAAAAGGCAAGGTTTTGATTCAGTTTTCTCTAAATTCACTTCTAACCAGATATTTCACAGGTTCAACAACTTGACTATTTTGAAAAGCTCAGTCACTGCTTTACAACATGCAGGGTCAAATTGCATGCAATAGGTATTAGGGATTTGTATCTAACACAGGTGACATGGTGATGTGGTGGTCAGCAGTATTGTGTCACTAGTCCTGGTTTCAATTAGGATCTGAGGGACCTTCTGTGTGGTGTTTGCATGTTCTCCCTACAGTTTTTCCACATGGGTTTTCTTCAGTGACCTGCCCAGGGTCTAGACTCACCTGGCTCACTGCATATCGGTAAGGACTGCCATTGAACAGGGTATTTTCTCTCACTGTACCTTCTAATAGAGAGAAATCATATTTTACCCTTTAAAGAATTCTTGCGGTGCTATGGTAGCAAAAAATTCCCAGTTCCACCTTGCAATCGAAAAATAATACAATATACTAAATTAGCGATTAAAAAATGCAGGTGTTTGTGTATCGAAATTCATGCAAAAGAAAGATTAATGGTTAAGAGGTTAGAAAAAGAGTATCTCGGTTGATCATCATGTGCTATTTAACGCCTCCTGCCATTATTCGTCCAGGGCAGGGTTAATATCTCACAGACAGGTTCACCGCAGTTCACACACTGTAAAGATTTGCAATAATACATTGCTACGGTGTGTACTGACGTCATCCGGGCATTGCGTAACTGACAGAGAAACGCCAAATCAGACACCTTCTCGGCGGTGACGTAGTTAAAGCGCATAAGCAGTGTATTTATAGAGCCTATTTAAGCTGTGCTGCTGCTGCTGGTCTGTTCAGTGTTTACACAGATTTGGCAGAGGTTAGAGGTGGCTGGGAATTGCTTGTGCTCTAGCCTAGTAAAATCGTTGCATACAGTTGTGCGTTTTGGTAAGTGGGGTAGAAAATCGCGTCTTTTCACTTTCTGAAACGTACCTTGCCCTGCTTTTGTCATTTAAAGTGTTGTTTCAAGCCACGTTGTTTTCCCATGAGGTATGGTTTAGCCGTACTCCGTACAAATGAGGGGGGAGCTCCCTTGAACAAGTCAGCCGTTTCACAAGAGTAAAAGCATGTATTATTCTTGACATCCTATTATTATCATAATAATAGACGCACAAATTCAGAGACGTGCGTTTAAGCCTCTTGTTTTCTCGATAAGCGATGTTTTAAGTCGGGACTCGTTGCAGATACTGGATTTCTATTTTTAGGTCTCGTTTCACAAATTGTGATCGCCTGTAACGCCCTCTGCCAGTCCTTGGGAGTAGTGAAGCGGTCTGTGTGAACTGGGACTGGTTTAACTGCACCGCCGGGAGGGCTGGGGCTAATGCGGGACTCCTCGTCTTGTGGTGTCTTAGCTCCCCGTCCAGTCTGAAAGAATAATGGTGAAATAATTCCGAAAACGCCGCGAAGGAAGGAAACCCGAGGAGAGAAACCGAGCGAGCAAGCCGGACTCCTTCCTGGCCTCTCCCCATTTGCTTTCTGGGTAAGTGAGTGGTGTTTGAAATGAGCTTTCGGATGTGAAGTATCCGCCCAGTTTTGTCTGAGGGCAGGCAGGCGTCAGGCCGAACAAGGAACCAAAAAGAAAAGTTTAATTGATTTTTGTGTGCCGTCCGCAGTTTCTATCGTTTGAGGGGGGTTTTTGGTTTTTTTTTTTACATTCGGCGCGATGAAGACCCGAGTCACGTTTTTAAAAAAAGACTGAAGCCAAAGATGCCTGTATCGTTACAGAAGGAAGGGCTGTAGCAACTAAACGAGATACTTCTTTCCGACACTTCGGACGCGGAACTCCTGAGGCAAAAGGTAAAAAAAAAAGAAAAGATCAAATATGTGGCTAATGAACCCTGAATTGGACCAGCTGACGTTGAACGGCTGTTTCCTTTAAAAAAAAAAAGTGCACGTTTCTTTTTTTTTTTTTTGGTGGTGGTGGGGGGGCAACATGGGTATCGCACACGTACCCGAGGACAATCGAGCTGGAAGTGGCAAAGGGTGAAAGAAACACCACAACGCCCATCTCGCCGGCCGTGGCCCTGCAATGCAGATGGAGCTCGGCGCGGCGCAGCCCCTCTCCCGAGGCTCCTTCGGCCAAACGCGATTTTTGTGTGTGTGTGTGTTAGTTTTGTTTTGTTTTTCTTTTTAAACCCGCGGTGTTAACGTATTCCACACCCACGGGCCTGTTGTGCGCCCACCCCGACGCGCGTTAGGAACCGCCAGGCGAGCAGCGCTGCGCGGTGTTCACGCCAAGGGGAGGACGGCGAAACTGGCCTTAGATCCGTGTGGACCTTGCCCCGTTTTATTTCATTGACGGCGACCAGAGGCCATTAATTTCACAGGAGGACGGGCTGGCGCCGTGCGTGTTCAGAGGTGGGGAGCGGATTCAGCTGCTTTGGGGGAGAAATTTGCAGACCCAACACAACTGCTACAGTTTATATCACTTTAGGGTCGGGTCACTTTGCTATGTCTGTGTTAATAGCTGATGAACAGGCGTGTGAAACGTAAGGTGAATACACTGCTTTAAGTGTTGGTGGTGGTGTTTTTTTTTTTTTTTAGAAATTCCTAAATATTTAGAATGATTTTTAAACTAGGCTAACCCAGTAATTTGTTTTTTACTTTGCTGTGATAGTGGAGCAGACGGTTAGCTGCCTACTCTGGAGTGTAAATTAATGTGTTAATATTAAGATGCATAACGTTTTTGTTTTCAAAATACGCAGTAAATGTATACGGATATGTGAACAGTTACGGAGTTTGGGGGCTGATTCCAGTTTCAGGGCTGGAATCTCAATTTTGTTGAGACTGGTAGTCTGCACATGTTAACTTGAAGCACTAACACTGGTTAAGGATATTGTACGTTATATAAAAAAACCCGTTAGATCTATTATTGCATGTTTCTTTTAATTAACATTTATCCGTTGACTCAAACGCGATGAACTACCCAGTTGGTAGAAAATACTTTAAAATTCCCCCGTTAGTGACACAAGGCAGATTTTGTCAGAAGACGGACTTTCTGTTCCTTAACTGGGTGTCGGAAAGACGTTTGGTACTTAACATTTCTCGAGCTTTTAACAGCTTGTTCAAATTCTGCATCATGAAAATGTTGCCTTTGTAGATCACAAGTGGGTGAAACTATGTCTTCGCAATAGAGTAACAGTTGTAACTGCACTGAGTAGGGGGAATGGAATGAACTGGGGAGGTTGATATGATATCTGATCCTCCACATCTTTTGTGTGTTCTTAATTTGTTGTGATAATATGGTTCTTAAATAGCTTTGCATATTTTAGCTTGTTTTGTACTAAATAATCCTGTTCATCTTAAACTTTTGTTTACATCCAAGCTGTTATGGGTAAGGCGAACGAAGACTCGTAAAGTTTTCCATAGAAACCCTTAAAACTGAGTGCTTTATTTTAACACAGCAATGGATAATCACATGGGTGCTGCTAAGCATTGTACAGTTACACAATTTGTGTTTAGCTGCCTCGTCCCATGCACCCCTTGATGCAGTATCTTCAAAAAGAATCATTTTTTTAATTAGAATTGTGTCCCAAGTTGCCTGCAGACTCTTGCATAATTCCTTTGTGTTTACTGTCGTGATTGTGTTTAGAGAGCACATCACTTTACCATTGCCCATCTGGGCTTTTGTGATTTTGATTAATCTTCATTCTGCATTGTTGTTCTGAAAGGAAGATGGCCACAGATATATAGCAAGCTGCACTGCAAAACCCTTCCCTTTGGTGTTTGATCTAGGACAAGGAAATGGAATAGGATTTGTTCGCAGTTGGAAAAATATGCAAATTGAAAAAGTCTTGAACGCTAATGTTAATGGTTGTGTAACATACACATTTTTGTAGATGCTTGTCCCATTTCTGTTACAGTTTAATCAGCTTTAGCCGATGGCTACACATCGATTGATCTCGCCCAATAATTGCACGTCCTGGCGATCAAGTACCTTTCTGCGTTAATGTCAGTTTTGCTTCATTTCAAAAGTTGGCCTGTGTGAGCACCCCTACAAAATGAAGAGTTTAAAGGTATAGATCTGGCTCGGGCGAATAAGTTTGTGTAAGATCCTTTAAGAGACTAAATGACCTTTTCATTCTGATCTGAGGGATGTGACATTAAATTAACATTCTGCTGGGTGACTGAAAGAAAAGTGTTAGGGTTTTCCTAAATTGCCTGATGTTCTGTGTTGTAATGGCAAATTAACTGCCATTTGCTATATGATAACAAATACCAAGTCATACAGTGACCTTCACCCACCAAATTCCTAAGATTGTAATAACTGTTTACTTAATTTATACATCTTTGATAAATGCAAATATTATAGAGATGCAGAAGATGTTTGTCTTTGATACATGGACATAAGATGGGTTGTTGTTTTCATACTATACTTCGAGGTTTCTGTAAATATATTGAATCATATTGCCAAAATATTGAGTGCATTAACTTTTTAATGACAGAAATAGAAATAAAGGTTATATACAGAGTTCTGGATAGCCATTTACATTAAAATTATGGTCAAGAAGTCTGATGTTGAATAGTAGTCATGTTTGTAGTTTTTCTTAGTAAGTTTTTAAAATACTCAAGTAGAAAAAGTTCAAGGCTTTCCTGTTCTTCTAAATATCACTTATCTAAAAAAATATATTTGTTATGGATTTATCTTACAAGAATTGACCTTTTTGTAGTCTGGTGTCTGGTAGGACCAAACAGATTGGTCCCCTTTCCTTAAAAAAATAAACATTGTGAGCTAGAGATTAGTTATAGTAGACTTGTTAAATATAAAGCTTTTTGGCTATAGAGCAGTAGTATTCCACATCAAATCAAGCATTTATCTTTCTTTAAATGGCTTTTATTATTGGTTTGCTGCAGAAAAACATTGTTAAAATTCATTCCAAATTCAGTTTTATTTAAAGTAAGGAGAAAACTAAACAGATTACTGTACAGAAGTGACTGGTATAAGCAATTACCTTTGTCATTTCATAATTAAGTGTGAAACCAAAAATCATTAGAATGAATCCTTTTCTGTGGATGTATCTGTTCTCGAGTTTAAGGTTTCATTGCTATTGTTCGGAGTTTCAAGAACATAGCCACAGCTACCAGCCTGGATTTGAATTTTATATTTGCTTGTAGTTGAACACCATACAGCCCTCCTTATTAATATGCTTCTTTTCAGGACAGGCGTTTTGTTACATCACACACACACTTTTTTTAACACACAATCAAAATACGTATTAGTGATTATCCTTGCTCTGTATCGATATTAAAATATCACAGCAAAATTTTAGTACCAGTGCCAAACTTTGCTTTAAATAAAAAACAGGCAAATGCATTAGCCTAAGGAGCTAACTTTGTGTGAAGGCAAATATGTAAAGTTCTGTTTCTTTGGAAAGTATGCCAACAATCTAAAGAACTTGATGTAAGTAGGCTCACAATGGAATCCCTAAGAGAATGAGCAGTCCTTCCCTCATCCATGCTATTGCCATTGTGTGGAAGCAAATGCACCCATCAAAGATCAAAGTGAAAGAAAACATTCTTCATGACTAGTTGGGATTTAGGTGCTTTTTCGTGGTCATAGGTGTGATTTTATTCAGAAAGTGTAGATGGCATCCTTGGTGTGGAGGGTGTGAGTCTGGACACTAGCCTGTGCTAAATGCCTGTGGGTATTCCTCAGGAAAGTGTGAAAAATCCTACTACTGTCAGCAGGGTGAAAATGCCATTAAAAAACCCAGACTTGTATTTTAATTCATAGTTGTGAATAGGATGCTTACAGTGAAAAGAAAACTGTTCAAAATGAGTTAGTGGGGGAAAAAAACATGATACTTCTGGGTGTGTTTGTATTAGTGATGTTTGAATTCAATCCATGCCATTTGCTTTCTGTTATGTAACAGAAGAAAACATAACAGATGGACAATATTTTGGGGAGGACCGTGCTTATGCATTCTATACATGACCCTTTGAAAGGCTTTCCTCTTTGCTTGAATGGAGTTCTTTCCAGTTTGAAGACTTTTTGGCTGTCGGGGTACATTTTTTGTAACCCGATACCTAAGCATTCATGCTGTAGGCAACTTGTTGCAGTAGCCTGTATCAGCTGCCTCTTTGAGAATGAGAAAATCAACCCTCTAAATCACCATGAAATAAGACCAGATTTATGTCTCTACACACTTACCTAGTCTAGAACACATTGCTGGGGTAAAGAGCTTCAGCAGATATCTTCTTGCATTTATACAGCTCCTGTTTTTATGGTAAGCAGATGCATTGTGTAGGTGAGGATAGGAGAAGGCAGTATTCACAGCCTGGTGTGACTCTCACAACACTCTCTTATAACTATGATCTTAGTTGGTAATATCAATGGAGTACAGTTGTGAATGATGGTTTCTCACTCAAGATCTGAGTGTGGTGCTTTAATTCCTCTCATCAGCCTTGACAAAATGATTCTTGACAACAGAGGGGGGAAAAGAATGGGGAAAATGCTATAATTGCTTCCATGCTGTACAGCGCAAGTTAATATGGCACCCAACCACAAATAAAATATAAGCTAGTTTTCTTACTTTCCTCATTTTTTGAGATACACTATTGTGCTTAGAATCTTATTTGTACTTGGAGTTACATATCTGATTTACATGTGGCCTCCCACAAATCTTTGGAGCATTCTTCGGAAGCACAGAGCGTTCATGGTTAAGTATACAGTTATAGGTTTATCATTCAGGCTGGAGGTACATTCCATCAAAAGCTTATTGTTTCTTATTAAATTTAAGACTTCACAGGTCTTAAGCTTCGTCAATATAAAGATGACTCTTAACCATGCAGGCTGTTACATGCTGCAGTGGCATATTGTTTCCAAGTGATAACAGTACTTTGTTGTAATTTATAGGCCAAAGGATATGAATGTGTTTAAATAGCATGGCTGGCTTTGGGGCCTGTACTTCATGCTCAGATTGAATTGACTCGAGTGAGATAATGTTGCAAAAATGTTAAGCTGCATTGCTGTTTGTGCTTTAGTTCACCTACATCAGTTCTGAACAGAAAGCACATAATTGTAAAGGTTTACAGTAGGATATTGTAATAAGTCTGTACTGTTACAAAATATGTACTGAACTTCATCCAAATGGGAATTTTTTTGTCATAAGGCAGTATGAGCACAATGCATGACCTTCTTGCTGTATCAGACAAGCTGTCATTATGAAGGGAGGTGATCGGGAAAGAAAGCTGACAGTTTGAATCAGCAGCATCTGTTGCTTTGCTTAGATTTTACGGGCAGACAGAGCTTCTCTGTGTTGTGACTTGAAATGAACACCTGCTCATTACAATGCTGCTTCACAGATTCCCCAAGAGCAGTGGATCTGTCTGAAACTGAGTTTTTTTTTAAAAAAAATCACCATCCTGAAACTGTTTCTGCACTCTTTCAGGCTAACCACATCGCGGTGATGATTAAGGTTTTCTGAAAAAAGAAAACAAAACTAAAGCCCCCACCTGTTGAGGGCTGGACCACAGAGGTGTTCAGAGAGCTAAGACAGCAATGTGTGAAAGGGCGTGTTCCTCGTCACTTATATATTTTAGTAGGGAAAAAATGAACCAATAAAATTCTCTTCAGCTCACTCTTAAAGCTATGTTCTGTTCATTAAAAAGCCTTCTAAGAAATGTATTTTGTTCTGGTAAGATAACTTCTGGCTAAGTATAATGCAGAATGCAGTTGTGCCTGTTGGAAGACTGCAGATTGCATTTACAAAAAAAAAACATTCCTCAAAAGCCAGGAATGAGGAAATAAAACTAGGTGTGTATCGCGAAGAAGCTGGGAATTCCAGATACTGATGAAATAATGAGGTAGCCTGTGCAGATAAAGCCAAATAATGATTTTTTTCTTGGCTATAATCCCAGGATCTTGCCGTAGCAATAAAACGCTTAATTTTGGAAGACTGAATGGCATGGCGAAAGCCAAAAGCTGTAACGTGTTTGTGATCAGTGAAGTGCTGCAGAAAGTAACTGGCAGTCGCATGCCCTTTTCCTTCAGAACGGAGTCCATGTGGATCAGTGTGTGCGGAATCTGCAACGCGCTGCTCCCGTTTTTAAACACGGCACTGACGCGTCCCGTCTCTCTCTCTCTCTCCCAGGTGAAAGATGACGGAGTACAAGCTCGTGGTGGTGGGAGCTGGTGGCGTTGGGAAGAGCGCCTTGACTATCCAGCTGATCCAGAACCATTTCGTGGATGAATACGACCCTACAATCGAGGTAATCTTGTAGACGTTGTATGGAGACCTTTCACTGGCAGGCTGGAAGGAACACACATCCAGTCAAGCTGCTTCAGTGTATTGTAGCAATTTACAGGTACTGAAGGATGCTTGTAACAAAAGAACACAATGTCAGAGTTTAAGAGCATGAATTCCACTTTAAATTTCTCTACAATTCTTAAACTTAGAAGCCATACTTATGACCAACCCCTCCCCATTTTTTAAATGAAAAGATGTACGTTCTGATAATTTACTTTGCCAAGTAATGGTTTCAAACACCATGACTTAAAACTGGTCCATCTAAGAAGGGCTCTCCCATTGACAGCAAGTTTTTCTTGTTTGGGGGAAAAAAACTGACTTTTTTTTTTATGGATGTCTGCTCCAAGGAAAACTGTTAAAGTACTCTCCATGGCCACTCAAAAGCTGGAAGTGAGCATCTTAAAGGTGAAAGATTTAAATGATTGTACTACAGATGTAGGTATATACACATCTTGATCACTTATGAATTAGAAAATTCGATTAGAAAATATTCTGGAATTGGAAAACAGAACAGTACTGGATGCCAATTATTTGTAATTCAATTTGTTATGCTCTTCCAGTTGAAAAGACACACCCCTGCGATTTGAAACAATACTTTTTTTTAAGACTTCATTGCAATGCTTTCATCTCCCTCATAGGATTCATACAGAAAACAAGTAGTAATCGATGGGGAGACGTGTCTGTTGGACATTCTCGACACTGCGGGTCAAGAGGAGTACAGTGCAATGAGGGACCAGTATATGAGAACAGGGGAGGGCTTTCTCTGTGTCTTTGCCATTAATAATACTAAATCCTTTGAAGATATTCACCACTATAGGTAAGTGGAACAGAGGGAGAGGGGAGAGGCTGTTCAGGTGATGAGCAGATGTTCTTTAACTTCAAAATTGCTTCAAACACCAACCAAGACTGAATCGCACTTAGGTTACATTGTTGTTAAACCACTAAAAATGCAAATTCCATTAAGGGAAGCAAAATTCTTTTTAGGACAGGTAAGAGTGGGGAGCTGTACCAGAATGCAAGCTATAGAGGAACAAGCAGGGGTGGAAAAATATTTTTGGTTGTGGAGCCTTCGTCACGTGTTCAGATTAAAGGTTCCTTTTCAAGTTGTGATATCACAGGATGAAATAAATTCACAGGCCCTTTTATCAGCTACAGAATGCAACAAGAAGAGTGCTAAAATGTAGATAAAGGTTAACCTATTGAAATAAGAGATACTGTACAATGGTAAGTACAAAATGAATAGTTTGACACATGTATAGCATGATACTGATTTGGCAAAAAGGATTCAGTTGTCATAAATGTGGTTTATGAAATCACAGTATAAACCTGAAAGGTGCTCCTATTGCAGATACCAGGGCGGTACAGCCTGTTACAGGGTAGACTCAATGTGTAACTTATCAATTTACCATTTCCAGACCTTCATTGAATACTTCTCAGTATCTAGACTTGAAAGATGATAAAATCTGAGAACAGTATCATAAAATGTCACGATTACAAGGGGACGATTTTAAGAACATAGAAAATAGGGATGAAAATGTGAAATTCCTTGATAAAGCTTGTTAGGAAAGTTGAAATGAATTGTAACATCAAAGTATTAAGTACAGAATATGCTGATCTCCTTTTACTTGTAGCCCATATGTTGTTAAAGGATCTTGTCTGGCTGTTTTAGTAGACAGTAATTTTGTATCGTGGTGAGGACTTGATCATCTCAAAGATCTTCATTTTTCTTCAGTTGTCTACATTAGAATAGTAGACTTTCCAGTCTACTGGAAATCAGTTTGACAATTTAATCAGTGTATTCGATCAAAAAATAAGACAAAGCTCAATACAATAAAACCTTTCTAATTTGTTACAAAAACAAAACCCAGGACTGCCTGCAAAGCAGAGAAATTGCTCCTGAATGGAAGAATTGATACATTTTTAACCTTGTATCAATAGTCGCATTTTTATTAGTCATAAATAATAAAGCATACACATTTTCTCTGTTCTGTACTCAAATGTGCAGTAATTAGCTGAACACACATGACAAGGTTAAGTTGTTTGCAAGTTGTCTTTGCTGGATTACAGTCTTCAGTTCTTGCCATCAACATTTATTTGGATTCAGGTCAGGACTGTAGACTTTCCTGTAGGAAAATAAGCTTTAGAGGACAGCAAACCCACAACATGTTGCAGCCTCCAAGCTGGAAGGTACTCTTCCCTTATAGTGTCACTGGAATTCTAAACTGGTCTTTTAAATCCCAACAGAGAACAGATAAAGAGAGTGAAAGACTCGGAAGATGTCCCAATGGTCTTGGTAGGAAACAAATGTGATCTTCCTTCCCGGACAGTAGACTCCAAGCAAGCTCAGGATTTAGCCAGAAGTTATGGAATTCCCTTCATAGAGACGTCGGCAAAGACGAGACAGGTAGGGAAATGCACAATGTGCTGCTGGTGTAATTCTACTCTGTTACACATTGTAGCAACACACAGATGTAAAATCTACTCTTCTTTTCCTTTACGGAGGAGTGAAATGATTTCTTTCCGGATCTACGAACTTTCTATTTCAAAAATGATTTTGGGACCCAGACTGTTCCTGGTTTCCTGGTGATGGTTTTTCTTTGGAAGTCCATAAATATATCGGTTTCTGGTGATCGGAATTTCATATTTTCTTGCATGTGCTATCTTAATTCATTTTGACATTGATTTCTCTCTTTGCGGAGGTGGACTCAGTGGTGTTTATCTTTAAAAGATAGTATTTCCTCTTCTCTATTCCAAATTTCTACTTCTCATCCTTTCAGAACTATTCTGGAGTCTTTGTTTTTCATTTCCATGACCAGCAGCTCGTGGTTGGTGATCTGGGAAATACTGTATCTTTAAGGTTAAATGTTGATGCCATGGGCTAGGAAATGAGAGTACGGAATGGGATCTGGTGTTCAGGGAAGCTTGAAAACATGGGCCTAAATAATTGTGTGAATAAGGAAGTCCCCCTCCTCATGACTAAATTAAATCGGAGAAATGATTAACCTTTGAGAATTGCAACACAATGACCACTAATGAACTGAGGTGTTTACAATGCAGTTTTGCATATTGAAAAAATCCAGTCTGGGTGATGAAACATCTTAAGAATGATTGGAAAATGATTCTTCTCTAACAAGGAAACCAAGGGGAGTCAATCAAGTCATGGCAGTTGAATGCAACAGATTGCCTCATGCTGCATAAATCACCCATTTTTAATCCTGGTAGAATTCTTTTAAATCCGCTGGATGTGTGTTGGCATTAATTGGTTTAAATGGTTGTTCATACAGCAAGTGGTTCAAGTCATTATTAATGTGGTGTAATTTACACTGAAATAGGGGCAGAGTCCATAAGCCCTATTTTTTACGATTTGACACGAATTTAAAAAGGATCATTCATCACCTCTTGTATTTTACTCTTAGATTTCAATGTTTTATCAAGCACAAAAAGGTTCTTTACTAATTTGTGATTAAAAAAAATCTAATTAAAGCCATCTTTGACTGAAAGGGGAGCCAGGCTTTTTAATCCTCTCTTTCAATAAAAAGCGATTTTTTTTCCCCCCTGTTCCTTGCTAATGATTTCAGCGGCTTTAAAGAAACCAGTTTCATGTGGCAGGTAGTCCACACTGAATTGCTGCTCTTGACATGGGGTAGTGGAATAGCCACAAACTCTTTGGTACAGCAAGGCGGGTAGCTGCTAGTTATTTCCAGCCCTGCTTGGTTTTTATTGCAAGTGATTTATGATAGTGGCACTTTCTCCTCTCTGCATTGCTAAAATCACAACTCCCGAGGATGGTGTTGGGGATGCTGACACTCGTGATTCGTACTTCAGCTGTTTGTATGAGTACCTGCACTCTGATTTCAGAAATGATTTAAACCCCTGCAGTCTTCCCCTGATTCCCAGAAAATGTTGTCCAATCAATAGCAATTTCACTTTCTGTACATTTTTGGATTCATCACCAGATTTTAAGACCATGCTGTCAAACTTTTTTATAAAAAGTGGAATGGAATTTTTACAATATACAGAATCTTTTTCTATATTTTTATGATTTTAAACCCAAGCAATCTATCTGTTGCTCTTAAGTCCTGAATTGACCTGAATTGTCTTCAGTCTCTTACACTGATTCAAACAGTAATTGTATTTTGTTTGTTAATGATTGTTTTAGGTCATTTTGACCATCTCATCATTTGGAATTAAAGAGTCCGAAGCCACAGTTACGTGTCCTTGACCGCTTTATTTAACAAACACTGCAAAGAGGTGTTCCCATCACCAGCAAGTGCATGCAGTACTAATCACCGTAAAATGCATTTGAACATCAGAAAGCAATTTCATTTAGATTTGACTACACGCGGCACAGTAATTCAGAGGCAAACAATGAAATAGGTTACTGGGCACAATCATTCAGTCTTTGAGGTGCCTGCAGTGATCTTTTAGACCTTCTGTGTGACTGTTCTAGTTGTGTGCCCCTGTAAGTGCATCTCGAATTTGCAGAATTCTGGGAGTTGTGTTTTGCACTGCAGAGAGTGGAGGATGCCTTTTATACCCTGGTACGGGAGATCAGGCAGTTCCGGCTGAAAAAACTCAGCAAAGAAGAAAAGACCCCTCGCTGTGTGAGGCTTAAAAAATGTGTTGTGATGTGAAGTGGTAAGTTTTGTAAACTGGGAAACGGGTATGGCTCACTGGATCTGGGGCCATCCTGGAACTGAGTGTGGTTTCATTTTGATCCCCCCCGCCAAGAGGAGAAAATTCTACCAATTTATCATCTTTCCAATCTGTGAATCTGCAGGCATATAGGGAATGGAACTGCACTAATGTTTAAAGATGTCCGTGCGCACAGGTGATTGGTGACTTTTTAATTAGGTAGTTTTTCTTTCCCCTCCTGCTCTTTTCCAAAAAATTAAGTGTACTAGCTCAACAAAATGGTACATTATATTCCAAATCATCATGAATTGAAAAAGTTGGACAAATGTGGCCCCCATTTTGGTCATTATTAGTCATCTATAGTATCTTGGTGGACTACAACACATTGTGTGAATATTGTGTTATATTCTTTCTATCTTGGACATGTTTGAGTGAATGTTTCTCCTTGTTTTAACTTTGTGATTGACACACTTTTTATTTTCCAAACATCTTCCTAACATTTCTATACATATTTTGGGGGATAAAGTACCATTTCCAATCACTTCGTCCAGTAAGCATCTGTCCCTTGTGAATTTGTTTTTTAAAAGGTTTAAGTAGAATTTTGTCATTTGTCATGGAATAATGTGTGGAGTACGCTTAGTTGTATTTTGCTGCTGTATGCAACGCTGAAATGGATTCAGAAGTTCAGAAGATGTTTTTAGGTCGGGAGTCTCCAATTCCGTTCTGGAGACCCTCACACCTGCACATTCAAGACCTTTAACAGACCCGATATTAGGCTTCATTTAAAGGGGAACTGCAATGCCATTCTTTCATTTCAGGGTTATCATGAATCAGAAAGGATGAGTGCATTTCAAACCACAATAAAACCGCCAAGTACATGTAATGTGATGTAATTTGGAGGTTGTAAACAAGAGACAAAGTTTCTGTGCATGCGTTGTGCCATATTTGCCATTGTCTGCGTTTCAGAATGAGGCAACGAGACCTCTGGTGATATGAAAGTGGCCCTCTGACATTGTAAATGTGCTTTAAACCAACCAAGCAAGCACATTTTTCGGCTGTATTTTAAATAGTTTCATGGAACTGACATGTACAAGGTGACGTTTTTATGATGAGTATTCCAGGAAAAGAGCAACTTGCCAACTAACTAAAACACACTCATTCATTTGCAAGATTTGCAACAGGGCTCTGTCATTTACATTGGAGGATATTTTGTGGTAAGTCACACCTAAAGAAAAATTCTAGAGGACTTGCTGTGCCACAGTCCATACCGTCACCTGAACAGCTGCAATTGAATTGAATTCAACATTTTGACTCGGAAGACATCTTGCCGTCAAATACTGTTTGTTAGGATGTGGCATGCCGAGTTAACATTTCAGGGGTGAAATGTCTGCTGTACAACCTCTTATTTGTCATACATCTCATCAAGAAACTTGTCGATCGGACCAACGTCAGTGCCCATGTTTATTACCCATCTCTTGGCTAGAATATCTCTTGGGGGAAAAAGAACGTTTGACTGTCTCCTGATCCCATCGTCTGTTTTGTGCACAACCACTATGTTCTGAAGAGCAGAGTGCTCGGCAGTGAGGCACCATTTTAAATATATTCTTGAGTTCAAAAAGACAAAGAAGGATTAACGTTGTTAGGAGACCACGTTTCCTATTTACCTACAGTGGGTGACTAGTGAGCAGGAAGGGCAGCTTTCATGTCACAATCATGTGAACCCTCGCCTGGTGGTGAGACCAGCAGTTTCTCATCTGCCAGTGACAATGTGACGACCATACAGTAATTTCACGAAATTCACGATTTCGCACATAGTTCTAAATTTTTAAAATTTTGCAAAGCTGTCAATTCATTTATTTTGTTACAGGGATTTAATAACCGGTCTGAGAAATTGGCACTGTAGTTCCCCTTTAAACTCTTCGAATGTTTTCAGTTACTAAACGTGGGAGATTATCTTAATCTTAAAATATCCAACCTTTGAGTCGAAAATGTGCAAAGTGACTGGTTGGATCAGTTAAGGATTCATTTAAAATGGACCTAAACTGCAAAGAACCCAAAACCAGCAGGTCTGGGGGTTCTCGGGATCAGGACTAGGAACCCCTGTTTTAGGCAGTGTACTTTATAATTCAGCTACAAAGAGAACTACACGTTGTTGCATGCTTCTGAACACTGATGTTTATGTTTATATAGCAATTAAAGAAGGATTTTTCTTCTTTTTGCAGGGTGTGGATGACGCCTTTTACACATTAGTCCGAGAAATCCGAAAGCACAAAGAGAAGATGAGTAAAGATGGGAAAAAGAAGAAAAAGAAATCAAAGACAAAGTGTATAATTATGTGAATAGGTGTTCCCCTTTTACAGAAGACACAATTCTTAATGTCCTTAACTGAAAGTAATGCATTTTGTACATTACACTAAATTATTAGCCTCAGTTTTATTTAGCATCAACTTAAGTTGTGGAAATGAACCCCAGTACAGTAGCTATCAATGGTTTGCTTGTATGGAAATAAAGTCAGCATAAGCTTTACTTTCTATTAAGTGCCAGTATTCCTGAAGTGTGTTGCTCCTTTGGTTTGCTGTGGCTGCCAGTCTGAACAAGCCCTTGTCTGCAGGTGCACGTACTTTTCCTGAACTGCTGTATTCATCCACATCATTTATTTTAAATGATTGGAATTTTGTTAACACTTCTTGTGATAAGTGTGTGGTACAGCTCTCTGTGTCTCTTTGCCTTGCATTTAGCTCATGGTTTATGAGCCCTTCAAATTTCTCCAGCTTGAAAAACCTGTGTTCTCTTAAGGTACTTGAACACATACAGCAGCTTACAAAGGCTTTGCCTATTTCTCATTTACAAGTGTAGATGTTTTATTTTGTTTTCAAAATGTAATAGTTTATAAACTTTTTAAAGAAATGTTTGGATTTTCTGCAAAATCAAAGACTAAAATTAAACATTTTTCACAACACTGGTTATTAATGTTATAAATACCAATAGTGAGGAATTTAAACTCCTAAATGAACCTAGTTAGCATTTTTTTTTAAATTGTTACAATAGTAAGTACTGTTAATGTATAATAGACTATGCAATCATTTGAGCAAGTGACTTGTAGCAGGATCTTTTATTTTATGGACATTTTACAAACCAGTTCTCTGATAGATGCCAAAGACGATAGTGACAATGCCAGTAATAAACACTTTGAAACTGGTAGGGCGTTGTTAAAGACGAGAGAAGGAAAGGTAGCACGTACAGTTCTGTGCAGCTCTCAAATCTAAAGGGTCAGCATCCTTAGGTAAATCATCCCAGTTCATCTGAACTGCTAGATGTTCTACGTCCCTAGTTAATGGAATAACAATCTGATGCATTTCGCAGGAATGCGTGTTGCAAAATGAATTGCTTAAAACCAGATACGAAGAGTACCGGACGTCTTCTGTTTTCACCTAAGTTTGTACTTAAGTTGACTTTAGTTCGTACTTAAGTACAGTACTGGTAATCCCATATAGCCTTTTCTTTTACGAAATGTAAAATAGAATTCCCATTTATTCTGGGTTATATTAAGGATTTAACTCATACAGTTGTATATTCTGGCAATACTCATAAAAAGAAATGACCCCTTTCCCATTGTGATCACGATCTTTCTTTAGAATACATGTGGAAGAATGTAGGTACATGGGGAGCCCCTTTTAATCCCTTACTACAAGCACAGCCTACTTTCGGAGGGACTTCAGACTGTTCTTTGATTTCATTTCTAGGCACAAGCAGACTAAAATGAACCTTGAGTTGTTTTCTAAATGCAGGGCTCTTGAACGGGGCACCATTGAGCCTCGTTTTTTCAGGCTTTACTGAACTACCACAGCATTTTAGGCTAATTTTCTCAGTCTTAAAATATTTTTTTTCTGTACAATATTAGAAATTAGCCCAAGGAAATCACAGGCTGGAAAACATGGAAGCTATTTTTATATCCATCATGCTTTCTCCTTTTTTGTTGATGTAGAAAATCGGTGTTGCTGGTGTGCTTGCAGTCTGTTGCGCAGAATGCATTTTGTCAGATCATCTTGGTTCCATTTTTTTTAGGCACGCATTTGGCATTTGGTTTTTCTACAATCCTTAGCATAGCTGCTTATGGTCTTCAAGTTGTTGCTGGGAGTGGCCTTAGATGGCAGAGAAGCAAAGGTATCCATAAAAAGTTTTACTTTAAAGTGGGACACTATTTTAAACTGTGACGGTTGCTCTGCGCATCCTTGAGATGCTGATGGTGGGGTACACAAAATATGACGGAGAATGAGTCTACAACTGTCCAGGGTATAGGAAAGTAAGCCGTTTCATGATGAGGGTGGTGGATCTTGACAATATTTCTTTCAGACACTCAAAGATTTTTAATTAAAGTATACCACAATAAAAAAAAAAAGAATCCTGTACTTGTACGGTTCACACTAGGGGCTTCACACCATACTCGGATTTTAAAATGTAGCTCGGTTTCTCATATCAATAAGCTTCGAGTAAGCAGAAGAGCAGAAATGAGACTTGGGTTGTTGCGTTTCTCTTGCTCTTCAGTAGAGTCATAAGGAACATCTACACAGCTCACTGAGCTGAGCAGTTACGTCCTCCGAGTTGAGCACAGCTTGAAGAAATTACAGATTGTTCCAGAGTACCTCAGGCTGATGTTTACTGAACCCTGGAGCCCATCTTAAATGCATACCAAATTTTACAATGCCGTTCAAGTTTTTTTTTCTCAAGTAGGATTAGTAATATTTAGCCATGTACTATAATGAATTAGTCTCTCCTCTTTTAGGTGGTATGAAGATATTGTACTTTGTTTTAGAAAGAAATACATTTTAAAAACGACTAAGTATAAAATGAAACTATAAACTGGAACCCATGTTCTTGTTAAATGATACAAACAATCTATAAAATAGGATGAAGTTTTAACAATTTTTAAAAAACTTTTCCTTTAATCCTTTTTTTCTTGGAGTGCCAACCTCTCAACTAGATTTCTTAAATGTATCATGTTTACCTGGAATGTATTTTAACAACCTTTGTATAGTTGTAATACTGAAAGGTGCATATTTTGTAAATTGTGCTTTTTGTTTATATGAATGATGTTTAATCCAGTTTCAATCATTATCTTTGTTCAGGTCTGGAATGTTGGTCATACCAGATCAAATGAACCGAATGACCACTGTTTAATAAGTACTTTGTAATGTTTTATAGGAGTATGTGCTGTGTGGTGATCTCAAATTAGTCACTATTTTTGTCATGAATTTCACCACTCCTATTTAATGTACAATAAAAAGTGGAATGGAGACAATGTTGTAATTTCATTTTCATCCCTGTTCTTGAAATACTACAGTTCTCTAGTACTACAATACTCTGGTATGATCAATAATATATTGCTAATGATTTCTCCGTAAAGATGTTTTCTGTATTCTCCATGTACTGTATTTTTGTAATGTATTGTTAATTACAGAGGTTCAGTACATGTATGAAGCTAAAATCTCAAACGATTCCTGGAGGGCCTAACATTTTCAGTTTTTTGATTGCACCTGAGCATTCAAGCAATATTATTTTCTCTAGTATTACTGAAAATGTAGTTGGCTATAAATCTCCATGGCACCTAGATGGATATATTAGAATTCTACAGGTAATAAGACCAATTAACTAATAATAATTATAATTATATAGCGCTTTTCTGGACACTCCACTCAAAGCACTTTACAGGTAATGTGGACTTCCCTCGACCACCACCAATGTGCAGCCCCACCTGCGACAGCAGCCATAGTGCGCCAGAACGCTCACCACACACCAGCTATCAGAGGGGAGGAGAGCAGAGTAATCAAGCTAATTCATGGAGTGGGATTATTAGGAGGCCATGATTGGTAAGGGCCAATGGGAAATTTGGCAAGGACCTACTCTTTGAGAAACGCCCTGGGATTTTTGATGACCACAGAGAGTCAGGACCTCGGTTTTACATCTCATCCGAAGGACGGTGCCTGTTTACAGTATAGTGTCCCGTCATTATACTGGGGCATTAGAACCCACATGGACCGCAGGGTGAGCGCCCCCTGCTGGCCCCACTAACACCTCTTCCAGCAGCAACCTTAGTTTTTCCCAGGAGGACTCCCATCCAGATACTGACCAGGCTCACACCTGCTGAGCTTCAGGGGTCGAAGGGAACAAAACCCAGCATATACCTGACCTCCTGACCTCCTGCGAGACGAATTGTGCACCCATTGTCTTCAGCCACTTGCAAGGTTGTCTTTGGGACATGACTAACCTGTGCCCCCTCCAATCTTTTCCACAATCTTAGCTCTCAGCTGCAGTGCTCTGATACAACCAGCATCTTAATTGCTAAATCGATCCCACTAATTAGCAGTTAATGAATGGTGGGCTTTGCATATTCTCCCTGTGTTCACTTGGGTTTCCTCCCACAGTCCAAAAATATACCGGTAGGCGAACTGGCTTGTGGGGAAAACGGCCCTGGTTTGTGTCTGTGTCTGCCCTGCAATGGACCGGTGTCCCGTCTGGGATGTATGCAGCCTCTATCGCAGGTTACTGCAATATTCGCTGGTTTCCGCAGGACCCTGCATCGGAAGATGAGGTTACAAAATGGAGGGATGGATAATGGAATTGGTCGCAATTAAACTCCGTAGTGGGGGACAGCATGTTGGAGTACCCATTCCTGCTGTAGAATCTCCCCCCAGTAAATCTGCAGAGCACAACAATACAGCTGCAGGAAGTGTGGACCCTGTGGACTCATCAGGAAAACGCCGCACACGACGACGTCCATTCGAACTGCTGCGATCATTGTGAAATGACTCCGGGTGCTGGGACCACATTCTTAATAATTCTCCTTAATAAACCCTTAAAGCGTTTTAACCCCAGGTGAAATAAATACAGCACGTTGGTAATAGACGCTGGCTTTCAACACACTGTCGTTGCAGCCCTCACAAACCAGGTCATTTGGCTCAGTGAAGAAAATCATCCACTCGGAGCTTTACTAATCATTGCGAACAAGGTGGCCGCTTTAACGTAATCGCTTAGACTTTGGAGGTTTGCACTCGACGTTTCACTGAGCTCGGAAAGAGCGATTTGCTTCTTGGAGAGTAGTTTGACGCCACTTTCCCCTTAAAACCTTTATTTTTATTTCTGATTTCTCAATTAAAATGATGAAACCCCCACCTAAAACGGATGTGAACTTACTGAACCACGTATCAAAGACGGAGAATAGCCATGCCGGTTATTGTCGGTTCGGTGCTATTATTTTGTGTTCAGTGATAAAGACGGTGTGTACCCACCAGAACTCAGATTTAAACTGAGGCAAGCGGAGATCACTGTGTTATTGTTCAGAAAGTCATCAAAGCTACTGCCTCAAGTTCGTTTAACACAAATATACATCACAGACCTACAACATTCCCACCAGTCGTCATTCTTGCTCACTTAAACTGATGTTTTTTCAGCCACTTATTAGTACCTATGCTTCCGGTGTCCTGCCAACGTGAGCTAACTTGCAGCGGGGTACCGGGCTGCACCACAGTACGTGAACCTAGTGCTTTCTCTCGCAATGGCAACTTAACGAGCATGACAAGAAGGACTCCCAGGGATAACACTTACGGGAAAAGTGGCGATAACTTCTGGGATAAGTGAAAGTGGTCAGGATCGGATCGTTCACGCCATTTCCAGGGAATTCTCGAAGGAAATCCCTGAAATTACCAATCACCCAATGAGCGTTGTTGTTATTTTGACATGTCTTTCAAAACCACTGCATCACTGGTTGGACAGACAAACTTAATTGTGAATAAAAATATTACGTCTGTCAAAGCAAGGCGGTTGTATATTTTGGGGGTGTTTTTTTTTTTATCTGGACCTACTTTTAGAGAGGCCGTAGCACTTTTTTTTACTGTTTTACTTTACCGGATATGACGCAATTTAGACCCGGAAAGCGGTAGTCGGCGGGATGGCGAGTGATTTGTAATTATTGTAGTCAGTGCGGTAACGTTGGTAAGTGTTCTTTATGAAATAAGATCGTTGTTTAAGTTGATAAACTTTACTACTGTTGTTTATTTACAGTACTACGTCTGTTTTAATAGTGTGGATACGTGAACTCTTAACGATCTTTTCGATTTGGTTATTTTGTGCTGCAAGTCATGTCGTGTATTCTCTTCATCTGCATTTCTATGGAGCGGTTAAGGTAACATACTGCAGTGTTGTAAGCGTTAATCATCGAGGGAGCATGAGCGTTTGAAACGCGTCAGAATCTTAATGGAGTTGAACATTTTAATATCATTTGTGCGTCGTAAGAAAATATTTTAATCTACTGTTGCCATCGTTAGCCGATAGACCAGATACGTTGGATTGCCTCTTTTGTAACTTTTACGAATGCATATATATAAAGGTTAAGACTCACTCCGATCTATTTAGAGTGTGAACCAGGAACCCATTCAAATGGTGTAACGATGCGGTGTTATCTGAATTACACAAGGAAGAATTACACTAATGGTTTGTCTGTCTGATCTTATTTTTTTTTAACAACGGTCTGTTCAGTTTTGTATGGGAGCCAGTCAGTTGTTGATACGGCATCAACCTGTTTATCATACACGACATTTAAAGTTTGGTTCTTAATTACTTGAAAAAAAAAATGCGACCTTTATTTAACCAGCTCGGTTGAAAAGATATTCTTTGCTAAAGGGACGACCTGGAAATTATGCTTTTGTGCCGCATTTTGCACGTGGAAGAGTATAGTCTCTTGGCAGCTACACTAAAGCAAAATGTCAGCACTGGCACACGTTTTAGAAGAAGAGTCTGAATAAAGAAGACAAACGTTTTCAAAACAAGCGAGTAAGGCTGTTTGTTCCCCCGACAGGTCTCCAGAGGACAGCATGTGCCGATTTTAACAGTTACTTGAGAAGGGACTCTGAACTCGGAGCAGGAAGATGAGTGCAGCCCTGGAAGACTCGGACTGTAACTCTTCTTTTGGGGGGCTGGCGCCCAGCAGTCCAGACCCCATGAATAAAGCCTGCTTATTCGACGACAGCATGGAGCTGTTTGACTCGTTAGATGTCAGCAGGGGTTCAGAGCCCCCAAGTTTTCTTTCTAAAACCCCCAGGTAGGCACAAAGGGGTGTAAGTACTGTACCCTTTACGTGCAGTGGGCACTAAGATTGATTAATCTCCTGCGGTGGCCTTTTGAGTTGATCTGGTCTTCACAAACTCACTTAAAACTACACATGAATAAGAATCTCCTTGGAATGGGTGGCACTTTGTTTTTCTTTGACTGCAGACTTTCCTTTGTTCCACTTTCCTTAGGCCGAAAGCTATTATATAAAAAAAAAAGCATATTCAGAATAGTTCAAACATGTTTGATGCCAGTTCAGTCATTAAGTTGTAAATGACGGGCAACATTATGAAACTTTCATTGTCATGAATGTACTTCCTTTTTTTTTTCAAATTTGTAGCCCCGTTTTCTCGAAGGCGAACACGAGGTGTTTCAGAGCAGCAAGCAGAGAAGAGGAGATTGAGAGTGTAAGTAGGTTTTACGAAGTTGGAAGATAAGATAAGATCACTTTATTGGCCATATACAATTTCTTGCATTAGGAATGTTTCTTTTCACATACCCCAGCTTGCTCTTCATGAGACACACAGACAGGGAGAGAAGCTGGGGGTCAGAGCGCAGGGTCAGCCATTTATACGGCACCCCTGGAGCAGTTGGGGTTCAGGGCCTTGCTCTGGGGCCCAACGGAGTAGGATACCTCTGTTGGCCACGGAATTCGAACCGGCAACCTTCCAGCCACAGTGCCACCACTGCAATACGCAGATGGACCATAACGTGTTAATGTGGAGAAGTTTGATTTTC